GTGGGGCGACCCAGACGGGGCACCGGGCTGACGGTTCCGTTTGTTGACTACCCCAAAAGTGGACTTAAACCCAGCGGCTTCCCTTTTGGGCAAATCAACCACCCCTGGGTTTTTGAACCCTGACCGGTTTGATCGTCTCTTTTTCGAGTTGCTACCCTTTTTTTCAGGTGGGTTTATGGGGAAACCAAAGGGATGCCCCAGCGAAACCAAGGGTTTTTCTTCTTCTCCTCTTTTTTTTGGGGGGGTCGATCCCTGTTTTTTTTGACACGAGCCAGTGACCTGTAATGCCACGGCGGAGCAGTTCAGTACGAGTGCGAGCTTTAGCTTGTATGGTCCTGCGCCCTTCGGGAGGTTGGGGCGACCGGGACCCATAGATTCGGAGGTGTGGCTCACCTCGCCCGAATTTTGGATGTGGTCGTTCTCCCCGCGAAGCAAGCGAAGCCATTTCTGCGGGCTGGGGAACATCTTGGAAAACCCAAAGCCTCCCACCTGAGGCTCTGAGGGGCGGGAGAAAACGCGAGAAGCGAAGCCGAGAAGCCGAGTCCGGGGCGAATTCGTTGGCCGAAAACACCATGTGGCTTTCTCGGCTCAGGGCCCCTTGGCCGCTACCGAACCATGTGTCTAAAACTACACTGCGCGCTGGCCCTCCTGCTGCGATGCGCCGCGGAGGAGTGGCTTCTGGAATCTTGGGGGAGTCACGAGGGCTTGGAATTTTGGGGAGGGAGCCGCGAAGTCTTGAAAGCATAGGTGTCCTTCTTACGTTAGTTTGGTTAAAAACAGATGGCACTGGTTTAGAGGAGTTTTGTTCCATTTATACCAGGGCCGTCTATGTCTCCAACAGGCCGCGCTATGCCAGGAGGCTGAGGAGTGCCCGATGTCCTTGCTGCAGGCGCACTGGAAGACCAGCGGCTTTTGCCCGAAAATTTTCCCGCAAAAACCGTCGGTTCACCCCGAAAAAGTGAGAGGATTTGCGGGGGGCCTCGACCTGCCGTGCTTTTTTGCTCATGGAAGAAACCCTTAAGGGTGGGCTCCCAATAAGATACTCGCAGGCTTTGATTTTTTCAGGGAACCGCTCAAACATGACATGGTGGGGCATCCTTTGTGTAACAGGGCTCCATCTTTTCGACGGGTCTTAAACCAACATTTTGCCTTGTGAAATCAAAGACAGGGTGTCTGCTTCTACCTCCAAACATGGAACCGTGTTCCTGACACAGAGGGAGCCCACGGAGGTTTTGCCCAGAAAATCGCCTCAAGGATTGTTTCGCCCGCCGAAAGATTCCATGACGTGCGAGCCACCTCGCCTGCCAGGATCGCCTGTCCTTGACGCCCACTGGCCTAGATGCCAGGCGGGAACCGACAGGGAGAGGTTTTCCAATCCCAGAGCCGTTCTTGTTTGGCCCCCGAAAAGTCAGGTGGTCGAAACAAAGAAGCAGCACACCATCAATCAGGGTCCCAAGAACTACGAATGCGGGGAGGGGAGCTTCTCGCGCTCGCAGCGCGTGGACTGCAGCTTGGACCACGAGGTTCTCTATGGTGATGCGTGCGCATGGAGCAAAGCAAAATGCCGACAAAAGCCAAGTCGCGATGGCTTTTCTCAGTCACTGCTGCCGGTTTTTGGATGGTAAAGTGGATGGAAAGAAGCGATCTGGGGATCCAGGCGCCAACTGAAGCGGATCCATTTTCGGAAGCTCCCAAGATCGGCGGACTCCTCGGCCGAGGCACGCGCGGCCCCAGGCTTGGCAAGGCGCTTACACGCCGAGCGCCGCGGCATGGAGTGGAGTTGGAGTTGTTTCAGAGGTGCATTTTGCTTGGATGTGAGTTTTTTTTTTTTTTATTTTTATTTTTTTTTAACCAATTAAGGGGTTTTCCATTAACCCACTAAAAGTGAAACTTTTAGCAGGGGAGCAGAAAGCAAATCCTCGCGGAAACAGCTTCCCTGACGAAGGGATGAGCCAAATCCTAGTTGGCACCAGTTGGGCGGTTTTTCGTTCAGGGCTTGCATACAGGAGTTTGGCCCCTACGGCTATGGCAAATGGACCGAGAGGCTTTCAGGGTTTCAGTGCGGAGAAAATAACGTATGGTTGGTCAATGCAGCAACCTGAAATTCGCTGCCCAAAGCTGATCGAGCAAGCCAGGAGCAAACGCAGATGTCAACCCAAGAAACATCGACGCCGAAACTTGAGAACATCCTACAAACAAAGCATCCCACCCAATCTTAGCGACCTGGTTATGAAAGAAGTGGTAATTGATTTAATAGGCTTCGCCGCTCAAAAAAATCCCCGATCGAAGAGATTGACGCCACATTTCAGGGCTTCAGCCCACTTCTGGCGGCTTCCCTGAAGCAACAGTTTGGGGGAAACAAAAGGCCATGAGGATGCCAATCACTTCCCGCTTTTGAACTTTCTTTTTCCGAGGTGCCAGCGTCCTGAAGCGGGAGGTTGAGCTCCTGCAGACGGAAGTGGCGCCTTGGCCAAAGTTCGGGGGCTTCGGTCGGCCCAAGTGGCTTCCCTTGAACTTCCCTTGGCGCGACTTCGGTTGACTCCGGAGGTGGTCCACAAACCATGGCGCCTGAATTCAGCGCCCCGGAGGTTTCACCTTCTTTTTTTTCTTCCCCCTTTTTTCAAGTTCAGCACATGTATTCTGGGTGAGATTTGTCCCGAGGTGAGACATGGCTTTGGGGTCAAAACCCTCGCAGTGAACATCCGATTCAATCCCCATAGCCTAAAATGGGTGGTGAATTCACCTACCAAAATGGGATCCCATTGCTGTGGACCGGCCAAATCGAGGCGAAGCCTTTGTCCCCGTCCCATCGGCTCTCAGCTCACGCCGCATGCCTCGCGCCTATGCCTCAGGCGAAGAGGGAGGAGCTGCTGAAGCTGAAGAGCAGGTGCCGCCGCGCGGGATACGGATTTTTTGTTTGGCGCCAACCCCATGCGTGTAGGCTGGCCTCTACCAGCCGAACGGCAAGGGCTTTTTTTTTTGGTTGGTTTCCAGTTCGAAGCCGAAAAAAGGAGGTTCAGGTTGAGAAACGTCCCCCTTCCCCTCCCCATTAGGGAAACGCTCGACACAGGTTCATGTCCAAAGGCGGAATGTCGCAAGACTCGGACTTGGGCGCTCCCAACTTGCCTTTGACGTGGCACCCCTGGAGGGTACTTTCCAATTCCATTCTTTCCGGGGATCCGGATCTTTCCAGAAAACCTCCGGAAAGCCGGGGAAAACGGCCGGTTTTTGGAAAGAACGATGCTCGAACAGAATGGGGAATCAACCCCTAGAATCTAGGGTGTCCTTCATTTCGGAGCAGAGGCTTTGTTCTTCAAGCAACGAGTTGAAAGGGATACGGCCTCACACAGAGAACAGCGCAGAAGCAGATACAGGTATTTGACAGACAAGTGCTGACACATATGCGCACACACACACACGACGATTAGTACTGCCACTATTTTCCAGTACTACTGCTACTATGCTGCTGCTGCTGCTGCTGCTGCTGCTGCTGCTGCTGCTGCTGCTGCTGCTGCTGCTGCTGCTGCTGCTTCAACTTCCGTGACTACTTCTGAAACTACTTCTACGACTGTCTGCTACGTCTACCAGACTTTACCACTTCGATTGCTAGAACCCCCTGTGTGCCAGGGAAGGCGCTACCTTTGGCCCGAAGCACGTCACAGCGCTGGTGCCGCTTGGAGCGGAAGGATTCGCGGGGCTCAGCGAAGCCGGGCGAGCGGAGATTGGGGAAACCGACCTCGAGATTTCCAGCTGCGCCAAAAAACGACCGACGATCTCGAGTGGACATCGTCCCTGCATTTGGGTATGGGTCGAAATGAAACTCATCAGGAATTGGACCGCAGGTTTAGGCCTTTTGCATGTTACCAGGGCACGTTCCATTTTGGGGTTACCACGATTTTCGACTTTTGACCTACAACCATTTTGGCAGATCCTCCAACGACACCTTGGCCCCATGAATTCCTTTGAGGACCCTGGAATTCAGCCGATTTTCGATCCTCGGCCCTATGAATTCCACTGGTTGGGACTGCCCCTTGCTAGCCTTCACCAATCCCCGGATTTTGAGCCAGTGGCTCACATGGCCTCTGCGCTTCACCGGGAGGTTTCTCGGCCGGCCCCGCCTGGCTTTTTCCCCCAGCGCCGGCCGCCGCGACGTCGGCCGACGCTGCGCCCCCGGCGCCCCGCTCGGGGCCCAGGATCGCCGGGGTGATCACCTTCATCCTGCTGGGCTTCGGCGTCTTCGTGATCAGCTCCCTGGGCTTCTTCAGCTCCGGCGCCTCGGATGGACCACGGCTGTTCGGTGGCCGGGGAGGGGCGTCCCAAAGCGGCGGACTCAAATCAATTGACGGAAAAATCCCGGAGAGTGTGGCTCAAATCAGAGGCCCGGAAGTCTTTTTTGTTTAGAACGACTTAGGGGTGAGGGGGGGGGCCCTCCCACTTTTGAGCCAGCAGTCAGTTTCCTTGAAACTATATCTTGCTTGCAACGTCACTTGCCGGAAGGCGCTCCGCCGTTTTCTGTTGGCATGACCCTTTGATATGTCCAAAAAAAACCTGACTGGATTTCTTAGCCGGAGCTGTTTGGAAGGACCCGGCAACTTCCTTGAGAGAAGGCTCAACCAAAATCGGGCTAGGGCCATGGTAAAATGAACTCTGGAGCACCTTGCCCTTGACAGGAAGCGACAGCAGCAAGAGAAGGCTTGGGGTGAGAGCCAGTGGAGCTGCCGTTGGTAGAATGAGATTGAGCATTCCTCCCACTTGGGTCGCTGCCACATTCTTTTCAAGACGGACGTGGAAAGTTTCGGGAGTATGAGATAGCACATGGCGTGTCTGTCACAGGAACAAGACAACGTGTTCATGGGAAGCTGCTTCAAACGAATGAGTGGCTGATTACCAAGCGGACGCCCAGGATCACGGCCAATTCTTGAAGTTTCGGGTGGAATATGGGTACGCGTCAAAATAGGCTACCCCCACAAAAAGGGGGGAGGGTTCTTTTGGCTTCACAA